CTTCCCTGGGGGCTTTGCCAACATCCTCAGTCTCCAAATGATGACTGCGTGCCGATTTTATAACAGAAAAAGAGGCTCCGAGAGGAAACTCGTGGCCCTGGGTCACACAGTCATCAGAAAAATAGGCAGGACTACAACTCTGCTCTCCAGACCCCAGACCCCAGGGTCCCCGTGCAAAGCTGCGATGAATGAGATTGATTTTGTGTGTGTCTCTGTGGGGCCTTTTTGTTTCAGAGGCAACGGAGTCAGACCTGCGCTTTGCCACTTAACAGTAACATGATTCTGAGTGCATTGCTTACGTCATCTCTCTGAGCTTCAATCTTTAAAATGGGGGTGACCTTGGGAAGATTCAGTGAAAGTGTGTGGGAAGCCTCTGAAGGGAGCTGGGATTCCCTCCTGGCTTCCACTTGCTCAGATCCTCCCACCCCATCCCACCCCTTTTAAGCCTCTTCTGCCAGCACGCACTGCTCTGAGGCAATGCCAACCCAGAAGCGATCCTGCTCCTTTGACCTCCTGTGGCTGGAGTCCTGGCCCTGGAGTCCCAGGCCGAACCAGAGCCTCAGCCTGCACGGTTCAGGGGTTGTGCCTTAGAGTGCTTGCTTTTCTTCCAGGCCCCCCTCCCAGGACAGACTCAGAGCCAGAAGGGAAAAGCTCAGCTTTGGATCTGTCAGCTCCCGGGCTCCACAGCCACCTGCAGAGTGGGCCTGGGCCCTGCTTCCCTCTGGGAGCCTTGGCTTCCTTATCAGTAAAATGGGCTCAAAATGCCTTCTTTTGCAGGATTGTTGTGCAGATGAAATGAGACAGTGGAGGTGAAAATTTCTAACCTAGAGCTGGGCTCATAGAAATCAGGGACTCAGGAAATGCCTGGCTCCTTCCCTTCTGGCTTTGCAGTGGGCTTGTCCTCCCCGTCCTCCCCGGGGGAGGGGGCAGGTGCGCACGGGCATGTGTGCTCACTCACATAGCTGTGCAGATGCACACAGTAGCGCACACCTACCCAGGCTCATACTGAGGCAGAAATAGAAACTTTCCAATACCTCCCTATATCTGTTCATCAGCTCCCAGTTCCTGCCCCTCTTGGTCACTGCGAGCCCCCATGTCCAGACCTGTACACAGCCCTGAAGGCAGCTGTTAGGTGGCAAAGGATCTCCAGGGAGACTGGGTGTTCCTCTTTCCTCCAATCCTTCCCGCCATCAGCCCGGCCCTCATCTCCCTCCCTCCCTGCCAGGACAACCTGTCCGCTTCACAGCTGCTGTGAAAGATAGGCCGCCTGGATTATCAGGCCAGAGGAGGCTCCTCATGACAGTTCCCTGCCCCCCATCCCCACCCCAGGCAAAGGTTCCAGGGCCCTTAACCCACTCTGTGCTGGGCCCTCAGGCCCAGGGACTGGGAATAGCAGGGAGTGAGGGTAAGCCCTGTGACCCCCCACCACGCCCAGTTCCCAAGATTGGAGTCACAGGCACAAGGAACTAGGGAGCAGCCACACCTGTGCCCTCCAGGAGCCCAATCTGTACACCGGGCCCTCCTGCCCCATCTTGGATCCATGGCAGCCCAGGTGAGGCAGGACAGACGGGGCATGTCTTTACGGGCTTAGACGAAAGGCCTGATGCTATCCACTCCCCCTTCCTGAGGTTGGATTCAGGCTCTGGGGATGAGGCCTGGTTCTCCTGACTCTCAGGGGCCATGGCTTTAGCGCAGGTGCTGATGCATCACCACCCCTCCTCCTCTACCCCCAGATCATTGCCCCTTCCCCCTTTCTAGCATCCTCCATGCCTCTTTCATCAAGGCCCCTGCCTTTTCCCAGGCCCTTCTGGTCATTTCCTCTGGCTAGTCACTGTCCCTGACACCAAGGCTAACCAGGACCATTTCCTAGTTAGGTCCCCCTGCGGTCACCCAACATTACATTTGCGAGACTCATTGGAGTTGTTGTATACACGAGTGGTTGGTATATTGTCATTACTGCATAGTATTCAATTCCATGAAAGTCCTACACTTTATTCATTCCACCATTGGTAAAGGTTTGGGTTGTTTGAGTTTGGGGGCCTTTATTCATAATGCTGCCATGAATATTCTTGTACATACATGTATGTGTATTTCTGCTGGGAGTGGAATGGCTGGGTCAAAGGGTATGCTTATGTTCAGGTGTAGGTACTAGATTCTGTCAAACACGTTTTCAAGGTGGTTGTATTGATATGTATCTCTTCCAGTTGTGTATGAAATTTCCAATTGCTCCACATCCACACCTACACTTGGTATGGTTACTCTTTTCTATGCTAGTCATTCTGACGAATGTGTAGTGGTATCTATTTCGGCTTGAATTTGCACTTCCCTGATGACTAATGGAGTTATTTCCATTATCAATTGCTGTGTAACAAATCACCCCCAAACTCAGAAGTTTAAACAATTAACAGTCCTTTTCCTACCTTGCACAGTTTCAGAAGTCAGAATTTCAGGAGGTCTGCTGGGCAGAAACTAACTTGGGGTCTCTTGCAGACAAAGTCAGATGGGGCTGGAGATGCTGGGGGCTGGCCAGGCATCCCTCTCTGATCATGTAGCTCAGGGCCTATCCGTGTGGTCTGCCTGCTTGGGCTTCCTCACAGCACAGTGGCCTCAGAACAGTCAGACTGCTCACATAGTGGCTGAAGGCTTAAAAACAGAATATTCCAGCAAATCAAGTGGAAGATACATTGTCTTTTATGATCTAGCCTTGGAAGTCATATAGTGTCACTACTGCCAAATTCGGCTGACCTAAATAGTCACAAAAGTCCACTCAGTTTCAAGGGAAGGGGGCATAGGCTCTCCCTCTAATAGGAAGGACTGTCAAAGTCACACTGTAAGAGGAATATGTAGAATGGAAAACATTGTTGCCACTATCTTTGCAAAGTACTACCACACGTTTTCGTGCATCTATTGGCCATTCTGTGTAGTGTCTCAACCATCATTTGTCTTTTTCTGATGGATTATCTATCTTTTTCCTTTTTGATTTAAAAAATCTATTCTGGGTGCCAGCTTTTTCCCCAGATATATGTGTTGTAAGTTATTTTTAGGTTTGCCTTCTCATTCTCTCAATGGGCCTTTGTGTGTGAGTATTTGTGTATGTATGTGTGTATTCATTTAAATTTTTATTGAGACAATTGTAGATTCACATGCGGCATGGAGAGAAATAAGAAATAACATGGAGAGATCCTTTTCAACTTTGCCCAGTTTCTCCACTGGTGACATTTTGCAAAACTGCAGAATAATATCAGAACCATAGCCAAATACCCAAGATATTGACATTGTTGTAATTTACCCATTTTATTCAGACTTCCTGTTCTGCTTATGCTCACTATGCGTGTGTTAAGTTCTACACAGTTTTGTCACCTGTGCATGTACATGTATCACCACCAGGAACAAGGATCCCTAATGTTTATAACCACACCCAGCCCCATCCCTACTGTTGGCAGCCACTAATTTCTACAATGTTGTCATTTCAAAAAATGGTGTATACACCTCACACCCATTAGGATGGTTACTACCAAAAAAAGAAAAAAGAAAGGAAGAAAGGAAGAAATAGAGGAAAAAAAAGAAAGAAAGGAGGAAGGAAAAGAAAACAACAAGTGTAGGTGAGAATGTGGAAAAACTGAAACACTTGCAGTGTTGGTAGGTGGTGGGATGTAAAATGCTGCAGCTGCTGTGGGAAAGAGAACAGTTCCTCAAAAAATTACACAGAATTACCCAGCAATACCACTTCTGGCTATACACCTAAAAATATTGAAAGCAGAGTCTTGGAGAGAGATTTGTACCCTCACATTCATAGCAGCATTGTTCACAATAGCTAAAACATGGAAGCAACCCAAGTGTCCATCAACAGATGAATGGATAAGCAAAATGTGGTATAGACGTACAATGGGTTATTATTCGGCTTTACAAGAAAGGAAATTCTGACCGATGCTACATATGGATGAAACTTGAGGACATAATCCTAAGTGAAAGAAGTCAGTCACAAAAGGCAAATACCATATGATTTCACTTACGTGCAATGTGTAGAGTAGTCGAATCGACCGAGACAAAAAGTAGTTTGGTGGTTGTCAGGGGCTGGGGGCAGGGAGGAATGGGGGGTTATTGTTTAATGGGTATAGAGTTTTAGTTTCACAAAATGCAGGGTTCTAGGAGATGGATGGTGGTGATGGTTATATAATAACGTAAATGTAACACCACTGAACTGTACATTTAAAATTGGTTAAGAGTAGATTTCATGTTATGTGTATTTTACCACAATTAAAAATAAAAGTTATATAGTTGGAATCATATACGTAGTATGTAACATTTTGGGATTGGCTTTTCTTGCTCAACATAATTCCCTGGAGATTAGTTTGTTTGTTTGTTTTTTGATAAAACAGATGTTCTTAACTTTTTTTTAAATGGAGATACTGGGGATTGAACCCAGGATCTTGTACGTGCTAAGCGTGTGCTTTCTATTTTATTTCATTTATTTTTTTAAGAAATTGTAGTTCATCATTTTATAATTTTTATTTATTTTGGGGGAAGGTAATTAGGTTTGTTTATTTATTTATTTAAATGGAAGTACTGGGGACTGAACCCAGGACCTCGTGCATGCTAAGCATACACTCTAACCACTCTAGTGAGGTATCCCCTCCCCACTAGAACTAAAATTTAAACACAAGCAATCTGACTCCAGAGTTCATGCTCTTGAGACACAGCCTCCATTACTGAGTGGAGCTTAGGACCGGCAAAGAGGTGCAGTGAGCCTGGCAGCCCCTTTCATCTTCTGTCTGCAGTGGAACCAGGTCTCCCAGGGCTCTGGTCTGGCTTCAGCACCTGGGCCATGGCGGCCCTGATTCAGGATACCAAGAGCAAGGCCAGTGTGCTGATGCCCCCCAGTGGCCAGGGTGGGAAAGAACAGGCAAAGTGTAGCCTTCAAACTGAAGGGGTTTATAGGTGGTGGACCTGGTTGGTTCTTGCTTCCCAGTCTCTCCCCTCACAGAAGACACCATAGAGGGTGTGGGCATAACCAGATCTTTATTTTAACAGAAGGGACAGGCAGCGGGGCAGTGCAGCATCCAAGCCCCAGACCAGACATGCAGCATCCACATGCAGGAACAGCTACACAGGCTGGGGTGGGGCAAAGGGTGGGGAACTGGGACCATAGGACACCCACAGCACCCCTGCCAGGATGCTTGGGCCCTGGGCTCTTCTGCCTCCACTACAGCAAGGAGACAGAGGACTGGGCTGCTTCCCAATGGCTGGAACCCTATCACTCTGGCCAGGAAGAAAGATGGCACAAAGGGTATAGAGTCTGGCCAGTCTCCAGCACTAGACTCCGTATAGGGTTGCACAGCTTTGCCCACAGGAAGGGCCCAGCCCGATACCTAGGATGGCACAGCCCTAGTAGGAAGAGGGTCTATACACTTTCTAGTCCCTAGACGGGCTAGATCCTGATCCCAGAAAGGCTTAGCAGAGTTGGGACCAAGTCCCACTCCACCTAGTAGGGACATGTCCGTGAAGGGGACTTTCCTGAGCACAAGCAGGGCCTCCTAAGGCAGTAGTAAACTGAGGGAGTTGCTATACACAGGAGGCCTCGCCTCTGTGCCCCGGGCTGGGGAGAGAGAGGTAAGGTATGAGAGCAGGCCTGGGGCCAGGCAGGGGGGAAGTGAGAGGCGATGGCCCTGGGCCTGCAGCTGCAGCTACCTGGGCTGAGATGGGTTGGAGTGGGAGAGGCTGGGGGCAGGTTTAGGGCTGGGAAGACCAGGCCAGGAGAAGGCAGAGTGTCCGTCCTACCCAGACCCCCTGCACCTACGCTGAAGCTCTAGCCAGGGACACAGGAGGAACGGACAGATGCACAGAAAACTTCAAGGCACCAGGATTCGGAGGAGCAGCAGGGCCACCCTCCACAGACAGACAGTGATTATAACAAACATCTTCAGCTTAAACTACATGATGTGTGCAGAGGGTGGGAGGAAAGAGGGAGAGAAAGACAAATGGACAAAGGAAGAGACGTACATTGGATGAGGGTGAAAGAGACAAACAAGATGAATGTGGCAGTGAAAGTGAGGGTGTGGGGTAGAGGACAAGGGAAGACAGCCAGAGGCCTGAGCACGCAGCACTTCTGGTCCCTATAAAATAAGGCACCAGAGTCAGAAACGTTCCCGTTGTCCCTGTGGTTTTAAAACGGGTGCTGAAGGAGGGGTGGCTGCTGCTGATGGGTGTGGGTCTTCGGGACCTCACACCTGTGCACCGGTGGCTTTCTTGATCAGTGGTATCTGTAAGGACGGGAAATGCCATGAGGACTTGGCTCCAGGGCACCCAACTGCTCCGCCTAGGCCAGCCCCATGGGCTGCCCAGACAACCCCACTGCAGAGAGCTAGACACACACCTTAGATAGGTCCACGCCTGTGAGGGCATGCACAGAGGCAGGCAGCTCGGCCAGCAGTCGGTTTACTTCTGAGGTCACCTTGCTGTTATCCCCACTGAGGACCACGATCTCATCAACTTTGGTTAGTGGGGCGGCGATTTTGGCAGCAATCTAAGAGATGGGATGAGAGGAGAGCTGGTTGGTGCTGACTCCGTCCACCAACCCTGTCCATCCAGTGTTTCTCCCTCCTGTCTCCACCTCACCCAACCCCAGTGGGCTAGGGATGAGCCCCTGCCTATCCTATTGGAGGGCTCTTCCCCTCTGCTGAGTACTCCCCCATTTAATCCTTCTAGCCAGCTTGTTGCTGTGTTACTGACAAAGCTGAGAAAAGTCCAGCACTTGCCCAGTCAGTCCCAGCCTGGGGTGGGAGCCTCACCTGGGGCAGGGCCTCCAGCACCAAGGCCATCTTGGCTGCATCCCCGTATTTCTGGTAGGCCTCAGCCTTGAGTTTCATCCGCTCTGCCTCTGCTTTGCCCATGGCCTCGATGACTGCTGCCTCTGCCTCCCCAAGTTTGCGGATCTTCTCAGCCTCTGCCTGTGCCAAGAGGACCTGCTTCACCCTAGGGGAGTCCAGGCCGGACAGGATCAGTGGGAAGTGCCAGGGGCCCCTCAAGGCTTGCCTGGCAAATGCTCAAGCCCTCTGCTTTGGCAGGTGTCTGGGGTGGGGGACCCATGAGAGTGGGTAGCCTGGTCTTCTGGCTCTGGCCAGGGAAACGGTATCTGCTCCCAGATGCAAATGAGCGAAGGGATTAACTGGGGTGCCCTCTATGCCAACCTCCTACATCTAATTCCATCTTCCTAACAACAATCCCATGGGGGAGGCGGGTCACCCCATCTGACAGTGAGGAAGCAGACATGGGGGAGAAGTGGCTTCCAAGTTTGGTCAGGGGAGCAGAGGGAGTGCACGGGCAGAAGAGGCGCCAGACTAACCCCCAGCAGCACTCACTTCTCGCCCTCAGCGATCTGCTGTATGCGGTGGGCCTCGGCCTCAGCGGGGCGGCGCACCGTGGCAATGAGTTCCTTGTCTGTGCGCAGAATCTCCTGTGCCTCCACTGCAATCTGCTTCTTGCGCTGCACAACTTCGATCTCAATCTCTTCTTGCCGGATCTTCTGCTGCTCACGGGCCCCTTGTAGCTCATAGGCCAGCTGGGCCTCAGCTGTCTGCAGCGGGAGTGTGGTCAGAGTATCAGAGGCTGGCTGCTAAGCCCTGAGCCCCAGCGCAGGATGCCCTCCGGCTCCTCACCTTGATGTTGACCTCCTCACTGAAGGCTGACTTTTGCAGCTCGAAGGCTCGCTTGGAGTCAGCAATCATGGTGTCTGCCATGAACTTTATGTCCAACATCTCCTTCTTGCATTCGGCTTCCTGGGGACAGGAGCGGCAGATGCTGAGGGTCCCCTGAACAACTGTAGTCCCCCACCCCTGAGCTCCCTGTCCCTGGGGCCAGGAAGGAAAGCCCACGTACCCGGATTCCTGCGTCCCGCTCGGCCTCGGCCACTCCGATGTCAGCATCTCTCTGTACCACGGCAGTCTGTGTCTTGCCCAGGGAGCTCAGATAGTCCACTTTGTCATACACGTCCTGGGGAGGGAAGAGGGAGTCATCCCTGGGAACAGTTACAGGCACAAAGGTGCCCCACCTGCCATGTTCCCCCTTGCCGGATGGATGCGGAGACCACAGCCTTCCCATCACACTGCACCTTGATTGTGAAACTGAGGATCTCGATGCCCATGCGGCCGACGTCAGGGGCTGCTACCTCCCGCACCAGCTTGGCAAACTGGTCCCGGTCTTGATAAATCTGCTCCACCGTCAGGGTCCCTGGGGGCAGAAGGATCATGGGCTGGCTCCCCAGGGGCCCAGGCTGCTGGGAAAGGGAGGAGGCATGCAAAGAGAGGTCTGAGTGCATGCAGGGGTTATGCAGTCTGAGCTGGGTCTTCCTGGGTTTCTTAACAGCATTTAACACTGAGCCTTCTCCTGCAGGGTCCAGGCAGGATGAGGAAGTGTCCCAAGCAGCACCAGGTGCTTGGTAGCCATGCACTCCCACCTCAACACCTTCCCCTTCACCCAAGTCACCTGAAGTTTTGACAAGAAATAATGAAAGGAAAATGTTGCAGCTTTTTAGCTAGAAGCCTCTTAGTGGGACTGCCTGCCCTGCCTCCTTCCCTGGCCCTGGCTTGGGGACCTTGTGAGGCTCCTTGAAGGCAGCAGAGGGAAGGGGCCCCTGGGCTGGGCAGGGACTCACCGAGGATGGAGCGCAGGTGCCCCTCCAGGGTCTGCAGGACAACGTTCTTGATGTCCTGCACGTTCTTGCCCAGGAATTGTTCACAGGCCACGGCCAGGAGCTCCTTCTCGGTCATGATCTTCACCTGCCAGTGGTCACAGAGGAGCCTGAGCCAGGCTGGAGGGAGGCAGAGGAGGCCCAAGACCCAGAGGCATGGAGGATGGTGGCTGTGCCCCTCCCTTCCTTTTCTGGACCTGGAGGCCTAGGGGCTAAGAGGAGGTGGGGTCTGTCCAAGGCCTCCAGTGGGGAGAAGACATGAGGAACTCCCACACTGAGAAAATTTTATCTTCACTGGCAGCCCCAGGCCCTGCCATGACCTCTCCTGGGCATCTGGGGTTTCCTTTCCACCCACCCAGCCCACGAGCTGCCCCTCAGCCTGCAGGTCTCTGCGAAAAGGAGAATGAGCAACAGGGGCACAGACAAGCAGACTAGGAAAGAGAGCCAGGATAGGGCAGGAGACAGGTCCGGGGCCGCCACCGAGGGTGGGCATCCTCCTGCCTTTCCTTCCCGAGATACTAAGCCAACAACCCCATCGCCAGAGGTCTATAAGATGGCTGAACCCACCCTGTGTGGACCTCTGAGAGCAGGAAGCCCTTCACCCAGGCACCGAGCTGGGAATATAACACAGCCTCCAACTCCAGAGCCCAGAGCTCTCCTGCCTCACGTGGCCTCGCCCTCTGGTCCCCGCCCTGCAGCCCCGACCCCAGGAACAGGGAAGGCCTGGATTCTGGGGCTTGGTATTTCCGACACCTGCAAAGAATGGGGTGGGGTTAGCGAGACAGGAGCCCTCAGCACTGGTTCTGTCCCCTGTGGGCCCGCTGAGGAAAGAAGGGGTGTCTGTTAGTCCTGCTGGGCGGTCAAGAGGCCGAGTGTGTTCCAGTGGCGATGACCCTCTCTTGGAAGAGGGGGTGGGGCAGGGGCGCTGGAGAGATCCTGCCCCTGGCTGCCGTCCTCTACTCCTCCTCCCCCCAAACCCCAGCATGGGGACGAGGCAGCTCAACGGACATGCGCAGGGCTGCTGAGTTACTATACCTGGGCGACACCCGTCACAGTTAAAGCTACCCCCTCGGCCGTCTCTACGTCCTCGCAGCGGGGCTGCAACGTCATAATCTCTAGGGAAATCCTGCCAAGAAATGCAAAACAGGGGCATAGGTCTGGGGGCCCAGGGCCTGAGGTGCAGGGAGAGTCCGATACCTCACTGCTTCAGCTGGGATGGGCCAGGGGTTCTGTGGCAGGGGAGGGTGGAAGGGGACCCTCCAGGGGTCAGAGCCGGGAGCATATGAGGAGATGAGTGGGAAGGCAGGATAAGGTGGGTTTAGGTGGCTCAGAGGAAGGAGTGCAGTGTGCCACTCACGTGCACACATGTCCTCTGCGCACGTTAGCTGGGCTAGAAGAGGAGAAAAAGGAAGTAGTAGAGAAGTGGTCATGGGTGGTCTGGGCTGTGGCAGGGTGGGCAGAGTCTAGGTGCAGCTGTGTGTGTTATGTCCTGGGATAGCAGATAAGGGCTGGTACTCCAGGCTGTGCTCTGCAGGCGCCCATGGGTGACATCTGAACATCCCCCAGGGGCCCTCACCTGTTCCCCAGGGCTGCTCAGCACCCTGGGATGCCCCAGGAGACTGTTGTGAAAACTGTCTTGCTGCGCCAAGATGGAGGTGATCTGGCACCTGCCCCCTGCCAGAGGAGCCCTCCCTGCCTGGCCCTCCCTACACCTGGCAATAGTGACCAGAAACCCACCCTCTGGGGTTGGGCCCAGCTGGGCCAGTGGGGAAAAGGGCTGGGGTCACACTAGAACTTCCTGGCCAAGGAGCACTAACCCTACAAAGAGTTGCTATGCCCAGACAATCTGAATCCTCAAGAGTCCACATCACCCAGCTGAAAAGGGACCTGGGCACCTGCAGCTGTTTCAAGGAGAGCAAGGGGTGGGTGAGATGGGGATGGTGGTGCAGCAGTTTTGCCTGAGAAGCTGAAGAACAATCTCACGAGATGGAAGGGGATGGGTAAGGTGACATTTAGGTCTCTTCCAGCCTGGGGACCCACCACCACGCAGGCTCTGAGGGGCAGGGCCTTTCTGATGTTCACTGCTGCCTCTACAGTGCCCAGAACTGACAAGGTACTCAAAAGGGAGCTGGTGAATGAAGCAAGGAAGATGGGAACCTGTAAGTTGTCAAGAAAGCACTTGGAGTTACTACATGCCCTGGCTCAGGAGTGGGTTTCATGGCTACCGCTGCGTGGTAGTGAGGAGTGAGACAGTGGGTCCCTTGCTTTTCAAAATGAGATCAGGTTCATAATACAGCTTGGGTTTCCCTAGCACTTCTTTTCTGAAAATTCCAAAGGGCCCTTGTATTGTTCTACTTGCCTTCCCAATATCCCTGCAAGGCACAGGAGGCACAGGGAGGGCGTGACTCTTCCCATTTCATGGACGGGGAAGCTACAACCTCGTGACAAGAGATCTGCTCAAAGGCCTCTTGACACAGAATTAGGGGCAGGGAATGGCCAAGGCTCTTTCTGCTCAGGGACAGGGTGAACAGAACTCCCCATGGGACCCATCTGCTGGCCTTGCAGGGAGGAGGACTAGGGCTTGACACTGGGGTGTCAGCCTGGAGAAGGGGCTGGCAGGGGCTTCCTGGTGCCTGGAGGACCAGGACTTCTGCAGGAGTAGTTAGGATGGAACCCTCCCCACCTGGACAGCCTAGCTCTGCCACATAAGGGCCTGTGTCTCCTGCCTCAACTTACTCCCAATTTAGGCTTGGTGTTCAAGGCCACCCACTGACAGACTGGGGCAGAGCTTCCAGAAGTCCTGGCTCTTTCCCCACTAGCAGCCCCAGTGAGCGAGGGCAAGGGAGCTGGGGATCTACAGGGATCCACCCTGCCACCCAGAGCAGCAGAGGTGGGGGCAGAGGGAGGAAGGCACACTCTCAGGAGGGGAGTCCATCCGGTTCCTGCCTGCCAGGCCCCTCAGGGCAAGAAGAGAGAAGGTTAGACACAGAGGAGGAAGCAGGTGGGTTATTACCTGTGCAACCCCTGTTACGAATAGCGGGACCCCCTCCGACGTCTCAATATTCTCACAGCGACACAGGATGGTCATAACCTCCAGAGACAGTCTGAGGAGCAGCCAGGGGGTAGGGAGAGGCAGGGTCAGGAAGGGGTGGGAGGGGACACAGCAAACACACACAGTGGTTACCAGACAAGCCCCTGATGCCTGATGCCTGGGGGTGGGGCAGGGTTGCTCTCAATCCTCCAACCCCCACTGCCAGCTCAGCCTAGGGCTGTAGGGGGACAGGGACACCCCCTTGCTGGTCTGAGACCTCCAGTCTCTTCTCTAGCCCCCAGACTCTGGGCTGGGGGAAAAGCCCGCTGATGCCCTGGGCCTGTGACCTGAGGTCGGGAGGCCTGTGCATGCCAGTGGCTCCCCACCTCATGTTCCCAGGAGATTCCTGGCACAATCCGGACACAGCCTCAGTTCCACCCTCCAAACTCAGTCAAACCTATGTTTCCAGAAACTAGGGGTCGGGGAAGCCACTCTGGGGATTAATAATCCACAGCAAATACCAAATCCTGTTTGGGTCACAAACCCTTAAGGTTTGTGCTACATATCACTAAGAAAGCAATTTAGGGTCTGAAAAGCTCAAAGAAATTTTTGGATTTTCTGATATGGGGGGGGAGGGGTATGTCAAAGAAGGCTGAGGGAGAAAGTGTGCCCCTGCCGTAACATACACAGGACAACCAGGAGATGGCGAAGTCATTCACTTTGGAATTTCCAGAGTTGGGCACTGGCAGAGTCATGGCAAAGAAAACCAGGTGCCCTGAAGCTACCTAGCCCACCCTAGCTGGGCAGCATGTGTGCGACTGAATGTAGGGTGGTGGTCCAGGCAGAGGCCAGGCTGTGGACATCGTGGAAAGTTTCCTTAAACCAGAGGAAGGGAGGACAGAGGCTGAGGCTGAGGGAGCAGAAGCAGGTGGGCTGGGGGGATGGGGAAGAGTAGGCAATGTGGATCCCCCAGCTCAGGTCTCCCAGTGCCAGCCCAAGGGCTCCAGCCATGCAGATGTGCAAAGGTTGCCTTCATTTGAGTCCCTAACAATAGCACCCTTGGGCCTGAGAGGACTCTAAAGACCCAGCTCAGACAGGAATCCATCAAGCTCTCTTCTGGGGAAGGAGAAAGGGAGGGAGGGAGGGAGGGAAGGAGGGAAGATGGGAGGCTGCAGCTCAGATGCCAGAGGTGGAGGAGTCGCTCAGGAAAGGGAGAGAGAGCTGCTCCCATCAGGGCCTCAGATAGGACAGGACAGGATGTGGCAGCTAAGTGCAGCAGGAGGGGTTTCACTGAGACTGGAGAAGAACGGCTGACACTGAAGGTAAGTGATGTGTGGGATGGCTGCAGAAAGTATCTCAAAAGGGAGGTGGAGGATCCAGGCTGGGTTGGAAGCCTCTACTCTGACCTAAGAGGCTCTTGCTGGCCTAGGGAAATAAAGGCCCAGCTTGAGGAACTGCCCCAAGCAGGCTAGGGGTTGGGGAAGGGGCTGCCCCCAGACCAAGGCCCAAGAAGGGGAAGGGCTGCAGGCTCAGACTACCTAGCAAGTGGGACCAGCGGGAGGATGCTAAGCCTGAGTATGTGAGATCAGTTTCCTAGGAAGAGGTACGGGGCCCCCCACCCCTCACTTCTAAACCTGCTGTCAGAGATGCTTGGCTCTCTTGTCTTGGGGCTCTGCTCCCTGGAGCAAGAAGCAGGAAGGGGGACCAAGGATGTGGAGAAAGGGCTGCTGGGGTGTGGCCCCAGCAGTGGATGCCCATGCAGGACAGGTTTGTGGGCAGGCGGCAAGCTCTTGAGGCCAGGGTATACGTTGAGCTGTTTGGATAAGACACTCTGTCGACCCAGGACTGCATGTGGGTGGGGTGAGGTGTCAATGTCTCTGGAGAGGGCACCCCATGGCCTCTGACAGGCCAATTGGCCCACTCAGGAGTGCCTAGGATCCACCTGAGAGGAAGATGTGACCAGTACTGATTATACTCTGACACTTTTGGCCTTGGGCCAGAAGAGTCTCCCAGTGTCCCTCAACTCAGGCAGGGCAAAGTTAGGGGAAAGACAGGGCAGTGGAGGGGGTTACTGTGAGTTAAAAAGCTGTGACACACTTCCCATGCCCCTGACCCTTAGCAACACCCTCAGATGCCCTGAAGCCCCGAGCACCAGCAGCTCAGTGTAGCCATGGGGCTTCTCTCTGCTGACTGGTGGGGCTGGGATGGAGGGGGCTTTCCACTGGAATCTCCATTGCTTCCCCTTCGATGACCCCACTGCCAATGTGTCCACACATTCACAGCTCTGCTGCCCTTGCTGCCTGGGTCCTGGCCTGGAAGGATCTGGCCCCCTCCCCTGGTCTCCCATAGCCAGGAAGGGGGTGATGGTGAAGAGGTGACCTGCCTCATCTCCTCCTGGGTGGGCAGTGAGGGAGGCAGGAGAGGCCTAGGCCAAGTCTGGCCCCGCCGGGGGCTCTGGGGAAGCCAGCAGGTAGAGCCAGATGGTGGGCCCTCTGGGGAGCAGAAATCTCCCTTTCCTTCGTAAGTCTTTCCAGACTGATTGAGGAGGTCTAGATCTGTCTTGCCCAGTCCCTGTCCCAGCGTCAACAGCTTAGATCCCCATCCCTTGTCTTTAACCTGCTGTTGTCAGAGCCACTTCAGACGGTATAGCCATTTTCTGCCACTTAGCCCCCTGCCTGCACTGTCCCAGGGCCTGTGTAGGTGAGGGTATGTGTGAGGGGTCCCTTTAGCCTTTCCTCCCTTCCTGGACCCACTCCAAACAGGGTAAGTAATTAAGGCTTCGTGAATAACTTTGAGACAGAATCAGAGAATTAGGATTCTGCCTGGGCATGACCCTGAATTCTCTGGGACAGAAGTGATGCCCTCAATGGAAAAAAGCACACCCACCAAGGAGGAGGCGCCCATAGACAGCCTCCTGCATTCCTGGGCCACCCACTTCACCTACTTCTTAGGAGGCCCCCACCCCCTCGGATGGAATATGGCAAGTGGTGGGTGCTCTAGCTGACCTGTGGGGTGAAGCAGGTAAGGATGGAAGCCCTTGTCTCCCTGGAAGCCCTTGTCTCCCTAGAAGCCGTTGTCTCCCTTGCCCACCAGGATGCCCAGCTCCCAAGCCCCCAGGCCCTTACCTCTGAGTGTCGGAGATACACCACCAGGCCCAGGCCCAGCCGCCAAACACATACTGTTTATAGTCGGAACCACAACAGCCCCCTGGAGAGCAAAGCAAACCACTGCTGGTCAGTCAGTTCTTGGGTCTGCCTACCCTCCATGCCTCCAGCAGCAACTCTGCTGCTCTGACACTTGACAACTCTCACTGTTGGGTGCCAGGTGGTGAGGCTGCACATAAATGGGAGATATACCCTAAGGGCCTTGGTATCTAGTTTGGTAAACAGGCAATTTGCAGAGAGAGGAGGATAACCAATGAGTGGCTCAGAATGTAAGTGCTTTCAGAGAACACAAGAGACCTCAGTGACCAGGAGTGAGCAGGAAAAGCTCCCTTCTTTGATTCAACCACCCATTCAACAAATAAGTATGTTTTTGTGCTAGGGATACAGTGATGAAGATACCGTTCCTAACTGCACAGACACAGAAAGCCAATTTATGATTACCAAAGGGGAAAGTGGGAGGGAGGGACAAATTAGAAGCTCAGAATTAACTGATACATACTACTGTATATAAAATAAACAACAAGGACCTACTGTACAGCATGGGGAACCATATTCAATATCTTGTAACAATCTATAATGGAAAAGAATCTGAAAAAGAATATATGCGTGTGTGTGTGCGTGTATACACACATATATATGTAAAGCGGAATCACTTTGCTGTACACCAGAAACTAACACAACACTGTAGATCAACTATGCTCCAATTTAAAAAATGCAACTCCTATCTTGAAGGAGGTGAGATTAGGAGGATTTTTTTCCTGAAATGACTGTAATACCAGGTGATTTGTCTGTTCTCAGGGTAGGGAATGCAGGGTCAGAGAGGGAACGCAGGGTCGGGGAGGAAGGGGCAACACTAGACTGCCGGTGGGAGGGGGTTTCCAAGCCAAGGTAGGGCCTTGCTCATGCCCAGCAGACACCTCTCAGGGAGGCTGGTTCTTTACTCCCAGGGATTCAGAGTGACTGTTTCTCTTGTGAGTGTGGATGGGGAAGGCAAGGCCTCAAAACAAAGGCCAATTCATGGTACCAATGGGAAAAGTGAAGAGAAAGGGAAAAGGTCTAAAAAGGAAGTGAGATTCCTGGATACTGTGTATCAACTAAACAGAATGTTGAATCTGGCCATGACTCAGATTCATGCCACGGACCCACTCAGCAGGCTCTATACACAGAAATAAGAAAAATCAATTCTTGAAATTCTTCTTGTGAACCCTCCTGCTGATGCCAAAATTACTCCACAAGTGCGAGAAAACTTAGTAAAAAGCAAGAGGAGCAGTTCACTTGCAGTGCAAAGATGTGTTCAGAAACATGATTCAAAGGAAATGTGATTGGGAAAAAGCCAGTGGGTGTCATCATTTCCGCGTTCACAAACTTCGGTTTTCAGGAAAGCCTTAGGGTGTGTGCCTCCCAAGGTCAAAGGTCAGGGGAACTTTGTGTGACTGGGTTACAGTGTCTCTGAAGCCCCATGGCAGGGGACAAAGCAGATCACAGTGTCTGAGGTGTCAGGCTGAGCAGCTGTCTGTGTGTGTGTGTGCGTGTGTGTGTGAAAGAGAGAGAGAGATGGGGGAGTCATTTAAGCTAAGGAGTGGCAAAGCCACATTTGTATTTTATAAACACTACTTTGCACAAGGAGGAAGAACCTGGGTCAAGGAGGCTGGATAGAAGCCTCCTTCAGTGACCCAGGCGGGACATAGTGGCTGACGCAAGGGGATAACTTCTAGAGCAATTTTATCCAAGAGAACTTTCTTCGAGGGTAGAAATATTCCACAGCAACACAGCGCCTCCAATGACATGTGGTTATTGAGCACTTGAAACGTGGCTGGAGGAATTAAATTTTAATTTAATTAACTTAAATTTACGTGGCCACCTGTGGCTACCATATCATTTAGCGCAACTCTAGAGCCTGGGTCAGGCCAACAACTGAACAGACAACAGGAAACAGCGAACTGGAGACAAATTCTGAATAGATGGAAGCAAAGGAACAAAGGCTGCCCCCACTGTGGTGGGCCTGCCAGGTTAAAGAGCTAGCATCTGACACTGCTCACTGGGTGGCCAACCCTGTTTCCTGGGTCTGCCCCATGCAAAGTGTGCAGAGGTCCAGGGAGCCAGGAGCAGCCCCACCACGTGTTAGGAGGGGAGGGAAGAGGTCTTGGGTCTCTGCCTCTTGACGGTGGAAGTACCCATGCTGCTTGAGGTTAAGCCACCGCAGGCTTCCCTGCCCTGGGGATGGGGTAAGGGAAGTCTCTAAAGACAAGCAGTCACTTTGAAACCCAAACCATTTCTCCAGTGAACCTGGAAGAGGGTCAAAAATCACAGCTTGTTCCGCTCCTTCTGGCCTGGTGGGGGCTGGGGCAGCTTCCTCTGGCCAGCTCCAAGGGACTTTCTCAATGTGCTGTGGGAGAAGGAGGTAGAGGCGGAGGTAGGTGGGATTGCAGGGGAAGGAGCCAAGGGCAGGTGTCCACCCTTTATTTAACTTATTCTTTGACCTTGGGAGCAGGCTGCCACAGCTCAAGCTGGGCCTTGGCCAAGGGCAATATGGCTAGGTTCCCAGGGGTAGCAACAACAGGAAGCTGAGACTGCCAGGCTGCCCCACCCCCAGCAGCCTCCTCCCCTGGAAGGCATCTTCCTCCCAGCTTCCTGGTCACACTAAGCCTGAGCCCCACTCCCAAAAGAGGACACTTAGGTGGTCCTTCCTTGACCCCTAATTCTGTCTTGAGGCCTGGAAATCTCTCCTAATCACAAAATATCCCATGATAACCTCCGCCCTTTGCTTAGCTTTCCCCAGACACAGGCGCCGGTCGCCCTCTCAGGAACACTCCCTTGCTTTCCTGCCTCTCTTCCACCGTTTTCTTCCCCCTAAGACTAGGGGGATTTAGCCTTTTTTGAGCCAACCACCCCCCACTGCCCTTAGTAGTCTGGCAATGCTAGAATGTTCATAAATGCATACAATAAAATATGGAAGAAACAAATTGTATTGAAAGTTATCAAAATATTAAAACAACCAAATATGTGATACAGTAATTTGTATGATACGTAATACATAGCAATATGTGGGATATAGTAATACATTAAATAAGATTTAGTGGTAGATTTAACAACCAGTTTAATTTCAAAGTAGTGATGAGCATGAACGATTTTTAAGGTGCCTGTAACAACAGCATGGTAGGAAATATCTGCTAATACTATCATGGTTTGTTGCCGATATTTTTTTTTCAGCATTAAATGGTATTAAGTTCCCACCAGAGTATTAGAACCTGTCTTATGCATCATTCCATTTACTCTTGCAATAAAATTCCATTCTCTTCTATAAAGAAGATACTATTAATAACATTCAGGGGGAGGGTGTAGCTCAGTGGTAGAGTGTACGCCTAGCATGCACAAGGTCCTGGGTTCAATTCCCAGTACCTCCATTAAATAAATAAATCTAATTACCTCCTCCTCCAAAAATTAGAAAAGAAAACCATTCAAAATATAGTAACAAATTTGAAAGAATCAGTAACAGCTAGTTTTATGGTAGATCCTCAAGCAGCATCCCACTAGACCCAGGGTTGTTGCTGATGTTAATAACCAAAGGAAATGCTAAATTTCTGTTAAGGTTAGTGGAAATTAAAATGTACCCCCGCCCCCATTCAAACGCACAGACCTCGAAATTCTATCCACAAACCCCAGGTTGAGAACTTCTGACCTACTGTAGAAATGAGAGAAAGGTATATTGTATTTGGATTCCCCTTCTGAACACCCAAAAGTTGAAACAGAGAAGGTTTTATACTACAGAATGAAAGAGGGAGGTAAGGCAATAAGAAGAACCTCCAGACTTTTCAAGTGGTAGAGATCAACATGAAATATATCAGCATCCTCCTTCTGAAACTGGGCTGTGTGAGATGTCCTGGACTTAGATGTAGGCCCAAGTAACCAGGTGGGGGCAGGGCTGGGAGTCCACAAACAAGAGAGCCACAGCTCAGCTTGATCATCTCAAATCCCAAGGTTCTATTATGCCACACATTGTCTCCCTCTTTTCCACCCTCCCTTGACTCCAGTACTGTTAATTCTCAGCACAGCTTCCTTACCCCACCCCTAAAACATCTTCAAAGCTAGCACTCCCTTGGCCTCTGGCCAGAGAACCAGTTTCCAGGCAACTAGAAGACACAGAGCAGCCCATCCCAGGGGCTCCTCTTGCCCCTCAGTCTCAAGGATCTCCACAAGGACATGACTAGAGCTTTTGGCTCTTCAGCCCAGAGTCTGGGCTTCTAGAGAGAAACCCCACTAGAAAAAAACCAAGCGCAGTGCAGATTTGAGTTTCTAAAAGCCTGCTCTAGGAGTGGGGGCTGGGAGACTGGCCCAATTATTATAGAGGAAGTCTGGCCTCAGTGCTCTCTGGGGGGGTGGGGTTGGGGGTGGTGTCTCTCACATGACCTCAAGGCTACCTCTGGTTTTCAGAGAAATGAATTATCTTAATTCCCCCATAGGAGTAGGATCCTAGTCAGGGAGAATGGGGATTTCCTGTCCCAGGGGAGAGATTGATTTTTGAGATCCAAACTGAGCCAGAGGCCATATTCTGGGGTGAAAGTTTCCAATGGATTCATAACATCACACCTCCCAAGGGCTGGCAGCTACAAGCCCTGGCCCAGCCCACCCTCTTATGCTCAACTCTGCAGCCAGCACCGATAATGCTGTGCACAGGCTGAGAATCCACATTGACAGCGGGAAGTAAAACATGAGGGATTCCTGCAGCTACAGGCCTCCAAGCTGTCAGGAAAACCAGTCCCTCCGCAGCACCTGTGAGCCAAGGGCTGCACAAACTGGTGGCTCGAAAAGCGTCAGCCACTTCTCAAGATACCCAAATATACAATCTAAATAGCAGCCTTACGGCAAGATACCTCTCCCTCCCCAATATTGCGGTCCCCCCCGCCCCACCTAAGCTCACAGAAATTCCGGAGTCTGCATTTTGCAAACAGAGCGACACAGCCCCAGAGCCCTGTTTCTCAACCTGTAGAGGCCGCACCCGCGTCTCCCCGGAAGGCAGTGCCAGTAAACCCCAGCGAGCCCCAGCCTGCTCGGAATTAACGGGTCTGTGCCTGAAGCCCAAGGATCCATGTCCCAAGGCCCCTTCCGAGACGGACACCTGCCCTCCAGAGCTGCGTGCGACCCAACCCCAATCCCAGGCGCTGGCATCCAGTCAAACTGTGTTCCCAGAATCCTGAGGCCACAGAGGAGACCCTGTCCAGGCAGGAGGCGGAGAAAGGAGGGAATAAACACGGGCAAACACGCGGGACGGGAAGGGGAGAGTCTGGTGGGTGTCCAAGGGAGTCGAGCATGGAAAGTGGGACCCTCCCGGAAGGGGTCTCAGGTGCGGCCAGCAGCCCCGTAGTCTCAAGCCCCACCCCCTCTGCCGCAACTCTCTGAACCCTTCCCCGGCCTAGTCCCTCCCCGTTCGCTCCCCAGCCCGGGCCCCATCCTCCCAGGCACAGCCCCCGCCCCAAACACCCTCCCGGCCCTGGGCGTCCCACACCCACCTCCCTCGCTGCCCCCTCACCTGAAACCACCAGCGCCTCGTTGGGGCC